CCGTTGCTCGTAGGTACACCCGCACCTCCTTTTTGAGTTGAGTCAGTAAATCACGTGGCCGAAAGCTCGCTACAGGGCTCAATTAGAAAGCCCAAGGGACTACACATTGCACGACCATTATAAATTTTATATGTGGTCAGTGAATAGTTCGAAGCCTTTTTGAGTCGAGCCGGTAAACCACATGACCGAACACTCACTATACGACTCAATTAGAAAGCCCAGGGGACTACACATTGCACGACTATAACTATCTCGCTATCTTAATTGTTCTGCTTTTCATGAAAAAGCTACCATTGGTAGTGTGTGTATGCTACCTAATAAGAGTGTTTTTGTGCTTGATTTGAGGATACTAAGTTTACTGTTAGTCTCCTTAGTCTATCTCTTGGAGCTTGCTTTTTGTTAAAATTGAAGATAAACCCCATGTTTTTGATAGTCCTAATAGTATCCTATTCACTTGTGGTTATTCACTCATATTCTTTTCTTCTCACGTTTATTTTTTGTCTTAATTATTTGGCTCTGCATGATTAGGCATTTAGTTTCTTATTTAAAAAAAAAAAAAAAAAAAAAAAAAAAAAAACGGGGTGGGTTCGTAATTTTTTGGCGGCAATATATTTCTTCGAAGTAACCTACTGTTCTGAATTTTTTTTCCTTTCGAAGTTTTCTTGAAATGTGTTGGGCTTCATATGTGAAGGTTGAGAGTTGCTGTACCTGAATTTAGTTTTTCATAAATTGCACTCATTGTTGCCAGAATAATATTTGCAATTTCTTCACTATAGTCTTCCTAAATTGTTAAAATACCCATGAGAAGACCAACAGTCATCATTGCATAATCCCTCCTTCACGTTTTGTTTTCTCCCCAAATTTCTGTGCTTCTTCTTCCCTACTGCCTTGCTGTTTCCTCTTCTTCCCTTGCAGCAACTTCTAGAAAATTTCAATCAAATCAAAAAGGGAATTAAGAAAATCATCATGGGAAAACGAAAGAACATCGGCGGTTCATCCTCATCGTCGAAAAGGAGAGCTTCTCGCCCAACGACCACGTCTCGGGCGGACCCACCACCGCCTCGCCGCTCCGGTCGTCGATCTGCCGTTGGGGAGCCATGTGATGCCGTGCCCCTTGCTTTTTGGGAGCCCCCGCTTCTCCTCACGGCCGCCTCCTTCGACAATTTTGGCAATCTGCCACTCGTTTTGGTCCCTAGATTTTCTCCACCGCCGTCGCCGCCAGTCTCGCCGCCGTCACCGTTCATCTATTCTCCACCATCTCCTCCACTGCCACCCTCGCCGGCTGCCCAATCGTCACCACTCACCTGCACCACCGCCACCTCGCCGCTCTCGTCGACGCGTTACTCACCCTGCCTCGCCTTCCGCTACTCGCACCACCGCTGGTCACTCTGCACCGGATCCCGTGGTGCCTATCTCTACTGTCGATGCTTTTAATTCTCGGTTCTTTCTCCGAGCGCATCAAACCCGGTGGCGTCTGTCAAGTGGTTCATGATTTTTTATGCCCACCTACCTAGTGGGGTCTCTGATTTTCGAGGTCGTTTTTACGAAGAAGAAACTCGACTATTTTACTGCCCTTGCTCAGAAAGGGGGAGATTATTCTTGAGGGGGAGTTGACAACGAAGCATCAACAACCCAGGAGGAACCGCATACAGGGGGAGCTGATGCAGCTGCTGGAACTACTACTGAACTGTTGTTGCTCCAACTGTTCCAACAGTTGATGGTACAACAGCTGAAGTTGATACGAATGATGATGAGGAGTTGTTCGTTGATGCTGAATATATTCTGGAGTAGTTTTTTTGTGGTTGTCGAATTGATTTTCTGAGCAACGGCATCTAATAGTCTGCTAGGCTTAACTTTTTTTTCTTGTTTCGTTAACTGTTTTTTCCTTTAACTGTTCTAACAGTTACTCTATTATGCAGTCTAATGTTTTGTCAGGTATTTGATCAAGGGGGAGGACTTGATTAAAATAAATAGATGACAAAGGGGGAGATTGTTAGAATCCGAGAGGATTCTATTTCGGTTTTTCAACACGTGTGCGAAAAACGTGTATAAAAACTAGGGAAGTTTCCTTAGTTCTTTAAACTCTTATTTTGTCATTAATTTATTTAATTGCCTAAGTGTTTTATTAACAAGGAATTTAATTGACTAAGACTTTCCTTGTTTTACACAACTCTCTTTTTCTTACGTGAGATAAAATAACCTAATGGGCTCCACTTTTGTGTAGGGCTCTACTAATCCACCTAAGGAAGTATAAGAAGGGCAGCATCAACGTTATTTTAGGTTGTCCCTTTTATTTGAGAGAAAATTTATTTTCTGCTCTTCACGTTGCTGCTCTTGTGTTTGATCGTAATCGAGAAGAAAAACAGAGTAACAGATTTGCTTCTTTCACGCGAAAAGAAGATCGGTTCTTCGGGAGGAGAACTCAGAAGATCTCGGGAGGAGGTCGACCCGCCGACTGAGGGACTCAGCGTTGAAGGAATTTCAACCGTGCGGATCAAGGGACGTGCTGCAAAGTGAAGATTGTTAATTCAGCGTAGTATACAAGAACGGCGTCGACAAAGAGGGAGTCTTTGCATTTCGATTAAGTCCTATTATTGTATTCGTAAAACTAAAAATTAGTAAATTTCATTTGCAGGTCCCCGTGGATGTAGGGTACAATTGTATCCGAACCACTTTAAAATTTGTGTCTTTTTATTACTGTTCCATTAACTGTTGCAACTCTTCGTAAAACAGTAGAACCGTATTTAAAACTGAATCTGGAATTCATCGGACACAAATATATAATTAATTTGCACGAAATAATTCTAACATATATATATATATATATATATATATATATATATATATATATATATATATATATATATATATATATATATATATAAAGTTGGAAAGTTATGGCATCCTATCATTCATAAAATCAGGCACATCACTTTTTATAATGCGACTGCTGCTTAATAATTGAAGAAAAAAGTAGCATATATTTTTTCATGAACCCGAAAAAGTGGATGAACTTGATGACATGCATATTATGATGACACTTGAAACTATGGTGGTGGCGTAGGGATGACAAGATAAATCGATCCACTCCGATCCGACCGAAAATTAAAATATTTATTAATTTTACACACAATTTATATAATAAAATCGAATCAAATACTAATTTCAAGGTATGGGTTGGCCGGCGGATAATTTTTTTGTAAATTATAAAACCCCCGGTGACTAGTCATATTTGGTGAGGTTTATTGCAGAATCCCCTTAGGCCTCGTTTGGTTCGGAAGATTAACCATGATTAATTAAATAGTTGGATTTTGTTTGACGTTTAGTACCCAAAAATTTATTGGGTTGACCCGCAGATATTATATTATCATGGCTTATCTTGCCTTTTAAGCATGTTTTTTGTTGGACCTTCCAAGATCCAATAAAACAATTAGGTTTCATTAGATTACTTAGTCTTATCTTGGCTAATCTTATCTTGACAACCAAACAAGGCCTTAGTGTAATCTCGAACAGCTAAAAAAAAAAACTAGCAAATTAAAAGTTCCCTTGGACTAAAATTTACATGGGGTTTTTTTTGCAAATTTTTATATCACAAAGGACTTAGCTTTTTGAACAGTTCAAAATCACACTGGGGTATTTTTGCATTTTATTTGTTTATCTTGGGGTAGTGGTGGAAATTTGGTCCCAGATTATGAAAGATGGACCATTTTACGTTCCTTGCGTTTAAAATTCAAACAAATTTATTGTGGAAATGAAAAGGGAGATTGAAAGCAATACTGTCGTTATTTATTTATTTTTAATTGGATTTTTATTGGACTGGAACTCGGTTTCGGTTTTGGTTTCGGATTAAAATCAATGTTTATAAAATGTAATTAATTAAGTACATTGTCTTCCTCAAGAGGAAAATATGGTACTCCATGAAGCATGCCCACCATGTTGGCTTTTTGTAAAGTAACAAAGAAAAGTAGTGGTCACAGTATTTCCATTCACCACTCTTTAAATGAAGATCACTTTCGATGATTAAATTAATTATCAAGTATTAATATTTGTTTTCTAACTCATTAATTAATTAATTTATTTATTTTTTGCCGAAAAAGGTTATGTTCTTTTTTTTTTTTTTTTCTATAGACTACAGTATATATAAAGTCACCAATAATTATTATGCTGATACTGTCAATTAGACTACAATAAATCAAGTCACAATTGAAAAAGCGTACTACTATAAGTCGATATATACAATGATTGAGAATATATGCTTTACCAATTATTTAATTTCTGCATTTTATGTATGGATTATTCGATTGATCATTTTCACTTGAAATTCGAACTTTCATAATCTGTCCCGTAATGAATGACCTAGTAACTGTAGACTTGTAGGAGCCTACAGAGATATTGTAAAGACGGAAATCGAACTCGAATTTTAAGAAAGGGATGTGATAAATGTCGTTTCAGTTTTAATAATGTTGTTTTAACTTCAAACGTGATTTTGACCATTTTTGAGTTTGAATTGGGCAAAGTTCAGAACATGGAATTTGTAGTTCTTTGAATTAGCTTTCTAATCTAACTTGAATTGCCAAGATTGGATGTTGGTTGAGAAAGTTATGCATGAATCAATGAACACTGCCCACAATTTTGATGTTTTAAATTATGTAAAATTTAAAATGTAACTCATTCATGTGTAACTTTAACACCCGACATTCAATGTAGCTGATTCAAGTTTGATTGGAAAGTTAACTCAAAGGACTACGATATCCGTCTTTTGAATTTTGCCAAATTCAAACTAGAAAATGGTCAAAATTACATTCTAAGTCAAAACGGTATTAGTAAAATTGAAACGACATTTAACATTTCAGTTTAAGAAACCACACTCTTCTAATTCAATTATTAAATGATAAATGTGTTTTTATTAATTATTATTATATTCATGATAGATATGATTAAATGAAGTGGTAACAAAGAAGAATTTTGATTATTTATTGAAATCCGAAATATCTAATTCTGTGATAAAAATTGAAATAGGCAAGAAGTTCTTGCCTTTTGTTTTCCAAAAAAGGGAAAGCAGGAAATTTAGTTAACGACAAATGACGGATCAGCGTCAGAAGCCAAATTGGCACTCGACAGTCGACACTCGTGTGACGTCACCCATGACGTCACATTGGAATCATCAATCATCAATCTCTCACTCACCACCTTCACATGAGTCAATGCATGTATCTCCACATATATACATAATTATTATTAATTCATTACTATATAATATCATTATATGATCACCGTTCACCGTGTTAATTTTTTATTTTTTATTTTATTAATAAAAAAAATGCAAATATTCTCATGTTTTTTAATTTATTTATTTCTGCAGAAAATAAAATAAAATAAAGAGTGACTAAAATGAAGGGGCAATGGGTGTAAATTGTATTTAGTGGTGGAGGGAGAATCAAAAGCCGGTAAACACTTGTCGTTCCATAAGAAACGTGAGCCATGACAACATATAGAGATAATATAGATACAATTACAGTACGTATCTATCTGTATCTATATATACACACACACACACACACACACAAACACACACAGTGATGTGTTTAAATGCCGTGAGTCGGTCGTCCTTGCTTACATCATTGGCCGAATAGCAACCCCCAATCTCCATTCTCCACTCTCTCTTCTAATTAATTTCTTCCGTATTGGCCTGTCAGCGTTGTCTGGTTAGCTTTTTTACCCCCTTTTTTTCTCATTAATTCATTCAATTTTTTTGTTTATTTATTTTTTAATCGTTTGATCTTCATTCCTGATATTAGGGAATAAATATTAAAAGGCAATCAAATAGTTTTAGTTTAACATTTCCGAAGCTTCCGCGTTTGTTTGAGTTTGTTTCGTCAACCAACACTCTGTTCCCTTAAATCTGGAAATGCTGATATGTGTGTGTGTGTGTGTGTGTTACTGTGTGTGTGTGTTCTGTTGCACATACACGCGCATTGGCTAATTTTAAAATATTGACAGTCTTAGAAGAATCCCAGCTATTTATTGATTATTCCAACCTGTAATTTTTTTTTGTTTTTTGTTTTAAATTTGAATGAAGGAAAGGTGAGGCAACTGCAATCGTACTCTATTGCTCTAACAACTTGAATATAATAGTAATTAATTTCTCAAATAGAGTATGATAGTTGTAACTTTTTCAAGCGTTCATGTGTTTAACTATTTTTGCATAATCCTGCAATTGTAATTGCTTAATTTTCCCACATTGCACAATGAATTAATTGTTATTGTTTTTGTATGATAATCAGAGCTGGACAGGCATATCGATGGGGGGTTTATCGGCTGCGTTTTGCGGGAAATCCGATTTTCAAACTGATTTAATCTCTCTTACACAACCTTCTTCTTGCATCAACCATGTCTTAACGATTTCTTTCGATGCCCTTCTCTTGATCGTGTTCCTGTACACTGTAGTCTCCAAGAAATCATCGTCGAAATCCTCTGTTTCGTTTCGCAATATTTCCAGTTTGCAGCTCGTTTCAGCTATTTACAACGGAGTTCTAGGGTCGGTTTACTTGTCTTTAGGAGTATGGGTTCTCGAAGAGAAGCTTCGAAAAACTCGATCCTTACTCCCTCTTCATTGGTGGATTCTATTCCTTGTTCACGGATTGATATGGTTAGTACTAGGATTAACCGTTAGTCTTAAAGGACATCGTTTTTCGAGAGTTCCTTTGAGGATGCTGTCTATACTAATTTCCCTATTTGCTGCAATTACTTGCGGATTGTCGCTTTTTTCCACCGTTGTCCTTCGAAAAAAGATGTCGTTGAAAATGTTCTTGGATATTTTATCCTTTTTCGGATCGAGTTTATTGCTGTTATGTACTTACAAAGGCTACAAATATGAAGCCAGCGATGAAAACGATCCGCTTTACAAACCATTGCTCGACGAGCCTTACTCTGCTTCTTCCGAAAAAGACACCCCATTTGCAAAAGCAACTTTTTTGAGTAAATTCACATTTTGGTGGTTGAATCCACTAATGAAGAGAGGGAAGGAAAAAACCCTCGAAGATGAAGATATACCAAAGTTACGCAAAGACGATCGAGCGGAGTCGTGCTACTTAGTATATAAAGATATATACGACGCACAAAAGCAATCGAATCCATCGGCTCAGCCATCAATCTTAAGAACAATGCTTTTATGCCATTGGAGAGAGATTTTAATCTCGGGATGCTTCGCACTGATTAAGGTTGTAACTATCTCCGCGGGCCCCATTCTGCTCAAAGCCTTCATTAAAGTTGCGGAAGGAAAAGAAAGCTTCGAACACGAGAGATACGTTCTCGTTTTAACGCTCTTCTTCACTAAAATAATGGAGTCGATCTCTCAAAGGCAGTGGTATTTCCGGTCGAGGCTGATTGGTCTGAAGATAAGGTCGTTACTCACCGCAGCAGTTTACAAGAAGCAGCTGAGATTATCAAACTCCGCTAAAATCACCCACTCGAGCGGCGAGATAATGAACTACGTCACGGTGGACGCTTATCGGATCGGAGAATTCCCATTCTGGTTCCATCAGATTTGGACGACTAGCCTCCAATTATGTCTGGCGATAGTCATTCTCTTCCAGTCCGTGGGGCCCGCAACATTCGCAGCCATGACTGTAATAGTCGTAACAGTTCTTTGCAACATGCCGCTCGCGAAACTACAGCACAAGTTCCAATCGAAACTCATGGTGGCACAGGATGAAAGATTGAAAGCCATGTCTGAAGCTCTTGTGAATATGAAGGTGCTGAAATTATACGCGTGGGAAACTCATTTCAAGGGCGTTATAGACAATTTGCGTGCGGTTGAAGATAAGTGGCTGTCGGCTGTTCAGCTGCGGAAGGCGTACAATTCTTTCCTTTTTTGGTCCTCCCCTGTTTTGGTCTCTGCCGCTACTTTCGGAGCTTGTTACGTACTCGGTGTTCCGTTGTCTTCGAGCAATGTTTTTACTTTCGTTGCGACTTTGAGGCTTGTTCAAGATCCTGTAAGAACTATACCGGATGTTGTGGGAGTGTTCATTCAAGCTAAAGTTGCGTTCGCTAGGATTGTGAAGTTTCTAGAAGCACCCGAGCTCGAAAACGCAAGTGTCCGTGTCAAGTTTGAAGCGGATGATATAAATCATAGTGTTTGTTTTAAGTCGGCAAATCTTTCGTGGGATGAGAGTACACATAAGCCTACGCTTAGAAACGTAAATTTGGATGTTAAAAAAGGCGATAAGATTGCAATTTGTGGTGAAGTGGGGTCCGGCAAATCGACCCTTCTTGCAGCTGTTCTTGGAGAAGTTCCGATAATCGAAGGAGCTGTAAGTAAATTTTCGATTTCATCCATTATTATTTATTTATTAATTTATTTTGTCTAATGTAATTTTTTATTTTATTTTTTTAGGTTAAAGTGCATGGGAGCATTGCTTATGTCTCACAATCGGCCTGGATTCAGACAGGGAGTATTCGAGAGAACATTCTGTTTGGATCTGCATTGAATACTGTGAGGTATCGAGATACTTTGGAGAGGTGTTCGCTCGTGAAAGATCTTGAGCTGCTGCCACATGGCGATCTCACGGAGATTGGTGAAAGAGGAGTTAATCTTAGTGGCGGTCAAAAGCAACGGATTCAACTTGCTCGAGCTCTTTATAAAGATGCCGATATATATCTCCTGGATGATCCGTTTAGCGCCGTTGATGCCCACACTGCCACAAGCCTGTTTAATGTTAGTATTATTCCTTATCAGTTATATGCTCGACTTTTATTTTTATTTTTTTTTATTTATGTAATTACGAGCTAAATTTCGCGGTTTGGCAGGAATATGTGAACGGAGCCCTTTCGGACAAGACGGTCTTACTAGTGACACATCAAGTTGATTTTCTTCCTGCGTTGATTCTGTCTTGGTGAGTTTCCGT